CGAAGATTTTCTCAGAATTTGGCGGAAAAATGGATCATATCGTGCTATAATTTTGTCTTTCCTCAGTCATCGCTGTACAGCTTCATTTCGCAATGTCACTCTCGCACTCACACTTACAATCTGGAGGGAAAAATCAAATTCACCCAGAGCAAAAGCTCCCAAAAGCGAGATTTTCGAAGATTTTCTCAGAATTTGGCGGAAAAATGGATCATATCGTGCTAAAATTTTGTCTTGCCCCAGTCATCGCTGTACAGCTTCCTTTCGCAATGTCACTCTCGCACTCACGCTTACAATCTGGAGGGAAAAATCAAATTCACCCAGAGCAAAAGCTCCCAAAAGCGAGATTTTCGAAGATTTTCTCAGAATTTGGCGGAAAAATGGATCATATCGTGCTAAAATTTTGTCTTTCCTCAGTCATCGCTGTACAGCTTCCTTTCGCAATGTCACTCTCGCACTCACACTTACAATCTGGAGGGAAAAATCAAATTCACCCAGAGCAAAAGCTCCCAAAAGCGAGATTTTCGAAGATTTTCTCAGAATTTGGCGGAAAAATGGATCATATCGTGCTAAAATTTTGTCTTGCCCCAATCATCGCTGTACAGCTTCCTTTCGCAATGTCACTCTCGCACTCACGCTTACAATCTGGAGGGAAAAATCAAATTCACCCAGAGCAAAAGCTCCCAAAAGCGAGATTTTCGAAGATTTTCTCAGAATTTGGCGGAAAAATGGATCATATCGTGCTAAAATTTTGTCTTTCCTCAGTCATCGCTGTACAGCTTCATTTCGCAATGTCACTCTCGCACTCACACTTACAATCTGGAGGGAAAAATCAAATTCACCCAGAGCAAAAGCTCCCAAAAGCGAGATTTTCGAAGATTTTCTCAGAATTTGGCGGAAAAATGGATCATATCGTGCTAAAATTTTGTCTTTCCTCAGTCATCGCTGTACAGCTTCCTTTCGCAATGTCACTCTCGCACTCACACTTACAATCTGGAGGGAAAAATCAAATTCACCCTGAGCAAAAGCTCCCAAAAGCGAGATTTTCGAAGATTTTCTCAGAATTTGGCGGAAAAATGTATCATATCGTGCTAAAATTTTGTCTTGCCCCAGTCATCGCTGTACAGCTTCCTTTCGCAATGTCACTCTCGCACTCACGCTTACAATCTGGAGGGAAAAATCAAATTCACCCAGAGCAAAAGCTCCCAAAAGCGAGATTTTCGAAGATTTTCTCAGAATTTGGCGGATAAGTGGATCATATCGTGCTAAAATTTTGTCTTTCCCCAGTCATCGCTGTACATCTTCCTTTCGCAATGTCACTCTCACACTCACGCGACAATCTGGAGAGAAAAATCAAATTCATCCAGAGCAAAAGCTCCCGAAAGCGAGATTTTCGAAGATCTTCTCAGAATTTGGCGGAAAAGTGGAAGCATAGTGAATACTGAGATCGAATGTGAGCGGATCAAATGGTATGCTGCTATAACTAACTTTGCAACAATGTCCAGCTCGCAATTTCAACACCCTTGGCACGCGCTTGCGTCTTTCAACACACCCATTGCAGCAGCAGAGCGTACCCTGCGTGTCGTGGCCTCTCGTTCGCGCTAGGACCTCTGCGTTCTCTCGACCTCATGATCGCACCGTCGCGTCTCTACACAATAAGGCCCCGTTCGGAAACTGGCGTCTATTCAAAACACCCGCTGAAGCATACATGTGGGCGGACCATCCTCGCCGTCTCGTTTTTTGGGATCGGGTTTATATTATAGGAGAGGATATAAAATATAAATAAAATATTCCGTACTGGAAAGCGCGAAAGTGGCAAAAAAGTAATTTAGAGCGGGAGAGAAATTAGCAGGCGAGCAGAGTCCTCCACTCTGTAAAGTAGTCCCTCCAAATTCCGGAGCGATCCTCTCGGTTCCAACTTCAAGTCACGCGTTCGCCTTGGCAATGGCGATGTTACGGTGCTGGCTGGAAAGGGAAAGTTGTTTCTGTGAAAATTTCGCTAATTTTATGCCACTTAAAGGCAGTGTCCCGGCAGATTTTGCACCTCCACCTTTTTGCATGTTTTAGGCCTTTTCACCACGTAGAATCCGAATTGGAGCTTTGAACGGGCTGAAAAGGCCGATTTTGGGGCGTTTTCCTAATTCCAGAAAAGCAGCTTGGACGAGATTTTTAATGGAAAGTTGGGAGAGGTCCTCAGTCGAAGATCCTGCCGCCTGTAATTCTTGCTTTGGATAGCATGCATCATGGGGGAGAGCGCTGGTGGGGTCCCGCGCCGAACAGGCGGGGAAGGCCGTCCAAGCGCGCGCCAGTTGGGGTTGCGCGCGCCGGTTCAAGGGCCATTTTCTCGGCCCAGGGGGAACATCACCCAGCCGGACTGCGCCTGGAGGTCGATGGGGTGACCAGGAACCCCACCACACGTATATCCCCCAGGACCCGAATCTGCCGGGACACTGCCTTTAAGGGCAGCGTCCAGACAAAGTCGTGACTTCTAATTTTTGCCTTATCCAGGCCTTTTCATGGCGCTCATTCCGAATGTAACACTCAAAATGCGTGAATTTCTTAAAAACCCCTTATTTGAGACAATTTTGTAAGAACCGTGGACGAGTGCTCCTAATGCTATCCCTTTCGAAAGCAAGCATTGACAGGTACTATCTTCGATTGTGTTTGCCATGTGAAAACACTCAAGGGCTGGGGAGAGTTCGTTCAAGGGGGCGGGCGGTGCGAAAAAATGGGTGTCCTCGAGACTCAGCGTTTTCTGCTCCAATCTTCGCCTTTTGCAGGGGGTGTTCGAAAGTCGATTTGCGCGATATTTCCAGATCAAAGTCCTAGTCTCGGTTATGATAGTATCTGAAAATGTCCAAATCTGCCAGGACGCCGAGGCCTGTAAGGGCCGGGCATACATCACGCGATTTCAGTCGCGACGCGATTTGGCAATTCGCCAGAAGTCTTCAGATCCAACAATAGCAAACTGTACATGAGTGTATATAACTTACGTGTATTGATAAAATGCTTGATAGAATGCCCTATCTTCGGTACATTTAAAATGTGCTTACAGTGAGTTATGGACAGTTGGAATATTGCCAAGTCGCGTCGCGACTGAAATCGCGTGAAGTATGCCCGGCCCTTTAATTGCATGCCCATCATCTATTTCGGTTGTGATAGTTAGTCGTGATTAGTCGTGTCGGAAAAATATCACATCCAAGATGCAAGATAACCAACATGCAACGGACTTGTAGCTGTTGTCTTGTAGGGGAATCGCGAGGCGATGAAATCGCGTGATGTATGCCCGGCCCTTTAGAGCTTAGAAATTCGGACATCGAAACGCTCAGAATTTGTTTCGTAGAATTGTTTTGCAGAAAAAAAAGCACAATCGAAATCAGCATTTAAAGATGCGTCATTCAAAGAATGAAGATGCCATGTGGAAAGGCCACTCTGACCAATAAGGCTTCCTGTATTGGCTTGGAAGAAGCGCAACCTTTTAAGCGAAGACGCCTCCGCTTTGAATGAAGAAGGGAATATGCCTTGCTTTGCTTTCACTAATTCTTTACGTCTCTCATAAAAAATGATTAACGTTTCAGCAGAGTGGTGCATAACTTGACATTTTTCAAGAATATCCATATTAAAAGGCGGACCCAGCATGAAGCATACCTTATATGATTTTGAGTACAATAACCTGTTCATTGCTTTGAGACTCACAATGGATTTTGTACTGGTATCAAGATGTAGTCTAGATCCGTCTCTGCGGCTATTGGCTGAAATACTTGGTGACCGTGGCCATTCATAATGGGGTGTATACTGAAAAGTGCGCGTTCAAATGCTAATTCAAAAAGTGTCTTCTATATCTGCGAAACGTCAATCCGGATAATTGTGACTATTTTTTTCGAAAAAATCGGCTGAGGAGTGTCGAAGATCAATACAAACTTTCCTTGCCTTTTAAACTGCTAAATATTAGCCAGTTTTAATGCAATGATAATATGTTAAAATTCTCTTTAGTAGCATCAGAGGGTAAGTAAAACTTACCGTGGTGATTAGTATAAAAAATGAGTGAATTTTCTTGAAAAAACGTGCATAAGTTTCATTACGCAGATAGCGAGTCGAGATGCATCTTATGGTATGCATCGCGTTTCAAAGCCCATGGTCACCAAATATCCTTTCCTTGTTGAGGGCCGAGCATACTCCACGCGATTTCAGTCGCGACGCGATTTGGCAATTCGCTAGAAGTCTTCAAATCCAACATCAGCAAACTGCACACGCATAGTGTGAATAACTTACTTGACTTGATATGCTCTGTCTTTTGTACATTTAAAATGTGCTTACAGTGAGTCATGGACAATTGAAATACTGCCAAATCGCGTTGCGACTGAAATCGCGTGAAGTATGCCCGGTCCTATACGCCTTTAGTTCACGCGATTTGATCGTCAGCGATTGATCGCGACAAGACAATTGTTAGAACATCATTGCATGCCGATCTTCTAGCATTTCAGTTGTGATAGTTTTCCAATGCGACTAATCGTGGCTAACTATCACAACCGGAATACAAGAAGATCGGCTGAACTCGTAACACTTGTCTTAGGCCTAAGGCATACCTCGCGCGATCCCGGTCGCTGCGCGATTTGGCACAACGGCGACTCTTCGTAATTCGTCGTTAATGCGCTACCTTTGGTTGGAACTTGCTCTGTTTGCAACAGCTTAACAAGCTAGCCAAATATGCGTCCGAGAAGTGCGCATGATAATTTGTAAAAATCTGGCAAATCGCCAAGTCGCGTGAAAGTGGCGATTCGACCGAATCGCGTGAGGTATGCCTTAGGCCTTATAGCGATGAATCGTGACGACCGAATCGCGTGAATTCTGCACGAAATTTTAGCTGACACACAACTGCGCTCATCATCTCCAAGACCAAAAAACTTTTCTCTGCTTTCGAACACTTGAGTTCGGTATTGGTACATCATGTTGGATCATACCTTAGTAGCTTTTCGCAAATACCTGCCGAAATAGGCCTTCGTATGCGTGACATCTCAAGGCATTCTCGATATATCGAAGATAAAAGTCAAAGCATCATTATTTGGTGCGTTTTTGCAGTGTACGAGATAGCTTTCAATTTTTGTAGGATATACAACACTGTGGCTACGATAGCAGTTGTCCTAATAAGTGTACTACTGCATTTGAGTTTTGGTGACGACTATCTTGAAGGAGGTGGACAAGGTCTTTCCTTTCCAATATTCATCCACAAAAATCAAACACCACTTTTAGAAGACTCCCCATCTTACAAAAATACAGTATATGCATTACTGGGCTCTAATCTCACTTTTCTCTGCGGTATATCTCGTGACACCGCCCGACAAGGAACTTGGTATTATGGTAAAAATGGAGACGGAGGTAATTTAGATCGTCCAGTAAGCTTTCCGGTCAAAGAAATAGTATTGCCCTTTTCCATGTACTTATTACTTTATAAGATCGGCACAAGACTCGTTCCAGGGAACGTTTTCAGATAAGCCAATCAATACGACGGATTTTCCAAAAATCAAATTATCCACCTATGAAATGGAAATTACAAATGTAAACTATAGCGACATGGGATTTTACATCTGCAAAATCGAAGACGATCGAAGATCTTATATGGAAATAAAGCTTAACGTGGGAAGTAAGTGTAGCATAGAAAGCCACTGCTTTTAGCCCTTTCGGGGAATTTGATGTAGGGGTGCTTTTAAAGCATATAAATTTAGTGAGTAAATCAAGAAACGGCTAATCACCTAATGTTGTTCGAATTTTCCAGCAAACAATAGTTTCCCTTTACCATAGCAAGCGTTCATAATAAAAGCATAGTCTCTAATCTGAGAATACAAAGCTCGTCTCCAATAATATCTTCCAATTTCGTAAACTAGTTGCTTTTCCAGAGCTACCAAGCAAAGCTACAAACATCTCTGTAGAACCTCTGATCACAAACGACGAATTTTCCATTCTTGAAATTGAATTTGGTCTACCACAAATCGACGGCTACGAACGGTACACAAGATATTTGATCATCTTCGCCTTCATATATTATAGCGAAATTTCAGCTATATATTTGAAATAGTTGGTATCAACGATATGAATTCGTCTACGCATGAGTGGCAACCAGCTTTCAATGCTGATTCTAAAGTTATAAGATCTTATTCTTTGGAATGCCACCTAATATTCCTTCTTCTAGAAATGTTGCAAAATCAGATATACACATTACGGCACGTCGATAGGAGGATTGATGCGTTTAGCCATAGCGAACGAATACGGAAAAAGCGAGTACATCGAATCAGGTGAAGAATATTACTACACCTAATGATGACAGTAATGTGAATGAGTCTTTTTGAGAAGGGAATGGGCGGGGGGGGGGGGAGAATGAAATATCTCACCTTTACAGAGTTAGCCATTAGCATCTATGCTCGCATAGCAACCAAAGACCCTATTTAGGTCCTTTCGTGTTTCCAAATCGACCATTTCCACCATTTCTCCGTCTCAAAGTGGTACATGAAGGAAAAAGGAAACTATATCTTGAATGGGAAAAGCAATGCGAGCATGCTTCACTTTTCAAGAGCTATAAGCTACGGTTCGTCATGAGCTAAAAACTTGTTTTGTCTGTGAGAGCAAAAAATGTTGACCGTAGAAGTTCCTTTTCTAAAAAGCTTCAAATACTCTTGATACTACTACAGTACGAAACCTGAAATCTATTGCAGGTACCGAAACCTACAGTTTCCACTGAACTGGACGACTATCAGTATCCCAAAGGAAAATTCCTATAGCGTAAATATAACTTCGTTAATTTTCTTCTTTTCAAACAACAAACTCTTCCGCTTTCAACTCTAATTTTATAACGTTGTAGTCTTCATGCCTCTTGAACAACTTTTATTACCTTTTTGAACCTTTCAGCTTAAGTGGAATTTGCATGGTTTTTGGTCAAATTTTCTCACAAAATATTTTATACTAGGAGATCGATGTAGCGTCAGATGCAGACTATGTTTTCAACCTCGTAGGAGAAGGCGAGAGTCAAAATTACTACTCCGATCAAATTTATTACCACACCAAACCTCAGAGCCCAATAGGTAAATGCAAAAAATCCGGAGTTCAGCTCATAAAATCATGATTTAGTTGGCAAATTTGAGTTCACGAATATTTCATCAAAGCGTTTGTCGGTAAAATTTTTTCCGCCTTCAGAGTTTGCAGGAAAGAATTTCAGTTTCGAGGTCCGCAAACAATTGATTTTAAAAAGCTGATAATTGCCTTATACTTCACCTTTGTGTTGAAGGTAATCATTCATGAAGGAAATGCCACTGCATCCAAACTCATTCTTTTTCCCAATTCGAGCGATTTTTTGATGAATATAACCAATTTGAAACCAAATGGTGCGGTTGGTCTTATAAAAAACTGCTTAGAAAATTTAGATCGAACCTTTTTCAGAGGCATATTTCATGCAGATTGATTATAAGCCTCAACTTTATGCAGGAGAAAATTTTACGGAAAATCTTTATGTGAAAACATTGGAGGATATTCCTGAAGCAGTCACTAACCTCACCACGCGCTTCCTTCCACCTACAGTGAGTTATCAGTTTTGTATTGCAAAGATAATTAGCTTCAGGATGAATATGCCGTGATTTCCATAAATTGGGATCCGCCTAAAATAAAAAACGGAGCGTTGTTGGGATACAAGGTATGTTCTAGAGCTATTTTCCTTTTTTGTTTCTTATCACCCGTTTTACGAGTATCTTTGAACTGAAGAAACCCGAAGTGAGAAATCTAGTCTGGAGGTATCGCACACTTTTCAAACAATGTCAAAGGATCCTCACAGCTCAGCAACTTGCTTCTTCCTAGACTTGATTCTCAACAAAGTTGTCCGAATTTCCTTATCGGGAGTGACCGTACTTCGTTTTAAAATGCTGTGGGTTAAACTGTACAAAATTACATTAGTTGAAGACAGTGATAATTCATTACAAGAAAGAAACATTCAAAATTAAATTTGTAAAAAACAGCTATTTGTAAGGGAGCCACTAATATCGATGCACAATTGCTGATGCTCTGCAACGACGGAATGTTGCTGTTCAGAACCATTGCAACAGCGTCAACTAACGAGGGGAAGGTTTTCAGTCGAAGTGGCGTTTTTAACACGCTGAGAGCAACGCAAATACTTGATTGTCTGCCCTTTGGGACCAAGACCTTTTACGGACGGGTACGGGATCTTATCTACCCAAAGCAAATGCCAACGCAGTTATAGAGTTCATGAGTTGTCAGCAACGTTAATTAGCGCCTAATCAGAATTACAAGTTTTTACTTCAATCGGACATACCAAAATAGGATTAATTTCAGTTTTTGGCAGTATACGGTAAGGTTGCGGTAGTCATTCTGTACGAACCTAACATCACGGAGTTTCGTGAAAAATTGTGTTTGGGGTATTTCACGTGCTGTCACGATTATAGTGTCCATTTCGTTCACTACTTTCCCATGGTGGGACTACAGTAGCAGTACGGTAGAATTTTCATAAGAATCAAGAAGCTGATGTAAGAAGGCGGTATTAGAACTTGAGACTATCATTTTCGTAATATACATGCTAAAAGACCTGTATACGCAAGGTATGAGCTTCCTGGGATGAACAATGCGAAAAATCAATAAAATCAAAAAAGCGCCTAATTAGAGCCTAATTACCCCGACTCGGGGAGTGCCTGCAGGATACAGTCATGCTCGCTATCTCCGATTGCTGCCTAGAACATGGCGACAATTTAAGCCCCGCCCCCAAAGAGCCCGTTTCGGAACCTGGCCAAGGGATGCTGAAAATCCTAATTGAACTTCAGGTCACTGAAACTGGCTCTTAGCCAAAAGCCTTCAAAATTACCGTACGAAGGTGAAATTAGGTCCAAACGAAAGAGGAAAACTGTGCCGTCCTCATAATTTGTTTACTGATTGAAGTTGAAGGAATACAACATTTCCTTGTTCAAAAGTTCAACTGAGTGTCAAATTCAGAGAAAACACTGGGAAATTATTCGAGAAACTGTGAAGCTTTTCAAAACTATCTATTTGAGTGCTAAATCCGATCAAAAGACTAGAAAATCATTGAGGAATGGCCTTTCAAGAACTTTTCAAACATAGTAGTTATTTGAGTTCTGAAATTCAGGTAAAAGACTAGAAAATCAATTAAAAAATGACAGTTACAAACTTCTCATAAAAGTTCATTTATGTGGTGATATTCGAACAGACATTCAAGAAATGAAATTCAGTAACCATAACTATCAGAGTTGCCCGAAAAGACAGAAATAAAAATTTAAATTAAGATTATCGATAGCAACGATAAGTGGTTTCGATACTTTACGTTACTATTTATGAGGAAAATTTCGTCTCAAACTGTTTTTTCAACCTTTTCTTGCCGCAGGTTGAGGTCATTGCTTACAGCAAATTTGACGGATGTTCTTCGCACATCAGAATAGTTTGTCCTTAACAGACCATCTTTGATTAGCAATATTAATGGTGAAGTCTTTCTGTCATTCCTCGGCATTTCTTGAATGGTTTTCAAGTCTTTTCATCCAAATTTCAGCACCCAAATGAACTATTATTTTTGAGAAGGTTTTGAGCTGTCATTTATGATTTCCTCTGCTTAAATAAATTATTTTTGAAAAGCTTGACATTTTCTCAAATAATTTCCCAGTGTTTTGTCTGAATTTAACACCTAAATAAACTTTTGAACAAAAAATGTTGTGTTCCATCAGTCCCAACCAGTAGGTAAGTTGTGATGACGGCACTGTTCTTCTCTTTCGTTTGAAACTAATTTTACCTTCGTACGACCATTTTGAAGGTTTTTGATTGAGAGCCAGTTTCAGTGATCTGAAGTTCAATTAGGATTTTCAGCATTCCTTGGTCACGTTCCAAAACGGGCTCTCTGAGGGCGGGGCTTGGATTGTCGCAATGTCCTAGGAAGCAATCGGAGATAGCGAGCATGACTGTATCCTGCAGGCACTCCCCGAGTCGAGCTAATTGGGCTCGGGTTCCTAAGTTCCGTTCCCCGAGGCAATATTCTCTTCGCGCCTACTTCGCGCTCATGTCACGCACATTTTTGCGATAGTCCCCCTCAAGACAATCGCCTTGTTTCTCCTGGCATCAGTTGTAAAGGTCACTGCTTGAATGGTGATTTTCAATGATTACAAGAAAAAGAAAAAGGTGTGCGGACTAATAAATAATACACTAAACCGACTTGGAAAGTGCCTCTTGCCAGGGTAGGTCACTTAGTCGAAGTGGCAACTTAAAAGTTGAAGCCTACCAATATAATAGAGCTCGAAATGCTGACTTTGATATCTGCGAAGCATTTCCCCAAAGTTTGGTTCAGAACGAAAAGGTGCGTAGATAACAGCCGGAAAACACTGAAAAAAGTTCGGATGACAAGACTAAATGTACGATGCTTTACAAGAGTTTTAATGAGCGTGCATCCGTTTTGTGGAAATCAATTTTGCAACTTAGACATGCAATTTGGCAATAAAAAAGCTCAGGACGTCGGTTCCCATAAGGACAATAGTTAAGGTACAGCGGGCCTATGAAGTGCCAAAATGATGTACAACAGGTTTTTTCTAATTGTACATTTCCTAAAATACGCTCATGACTTGGCTCCGCTGGTGAGCAAACGCGTTTGCTTCTCTCTATCTACCACATCTCAATAGCCACAGCGGAATATGTTCGCCTGTCAGTCAGTTTAATTTCCTATTCTTCTTGCTGTTCTGACAAATCGCTGTTTGCGGCGACCTTTCCGACTATAAAAACAACAACCTTTCTAATTCGCCTTGACTAAAACTGTAAAGTGAAAGAGTGTTTCACCTCCATTGGATTACTAAGAGTCCCACATCCCCATCTTTTGCTGTCATTGAAAAATCATCTTACAAGCAGTGACTCTAATTGATGCAAGAAAAACAAGGCGATTGTCCTGAGGGGAACCAAGGCAGGAATGTGCGAGACAAGTGCGACATAAGCGCGAGGTGGGCGCGAAGAGTACAATACCACTCTCAGAATGTGCAAAATTTCCGGAATTCCGCGGAATTCCCGAAATTTCGGGAATTCGGGAATGTCACGGACTTTCGCGGAATTTCCGGAAATTTTGCACACTCTGAGAGTGGTATTGTATTGCCTCCCAAGGGCGCGCCTGGAGGAGAAGCGGCAGGCCTTTGGAGGATCCTGACCGCCCTCCTTCCCTTGTAAGGGCTGTCTTTGCCACAATCCGCTGTTGCTCCAGCATTGACTTGCGCTCTGCGTCCCCGATGTATATTATAAAAGCATGCAAACAATTTTCGGGTTAGAGCAAACCTTCGTAGAAGCTTTTGTGTCTTCCACAGAAAAGTTTCTCACCGACAACTTAGAAAAAACATCACATTTCTCTTCTTTATTTGTCAAAAAATGAGATTACGATTCAAAATTTTCGCTGAAATGTTGTAAAATACCAGGAATACGCGCTGTGGGCTATGAAGAATTAAACATGAGCAACACATTGACCTTCTCAGATGTGATTTTCAGATTCGATGGAAACTGAACAAATTACCTGATAATCTCTTCTTTGTTGAACAATGCGACACTTCATACGAAATCAAGGTTTTTTACCAGGACGAACACTACAGCGTTGGTTTCCAATTGAAATAAATGAATTTAACTAATGTGATATTCATCTTGTCCTCAATCTATTACATAGCTGTTATTCACCTGTTTGCATTACTTTTCTAAGCACCGAATGCTTCATGCATTCCGGCCAGGGCTCGGCACGAGGTGGCTTACAAGCAAGCTGGATATCGTTTTTGGGACGAAAAGCAAAGGGGGTTTCGTTTTTGTGACCGAAGACACACGCAAAATTGGCGATTTGGCGACGTTTTTTTTTTAGTCGACGTTTCGTTTTTTGGAGGATTTTTAGGGAATATGGTGGGGGGTCAAAGGGGACTTCGTAAAAATACCCAAAAGTCAAGGGAGACTTCGTTTTTTGCATTTTCATCTAGCCACCTCGTGCCGAGCCCTGATTCCGGCATTCAGTAATGAGTTGAACATCTCTGTCGTAAAGTAGTGCGGTCATTCGGAAGCATGTTTCGGTGTTTTCACTGAAAACGAAACTGGAACTAAAAATCATGGTTTTCTATTTTACCGTTAGGTGTTGTCCAATTTTAGGTGTTTGTGAGCGCTAGAACATTAGCTGGATATGGCCCCGAACGCTCTACCTCGTTTAAAGTTGGCTCACCTCCTGGTAAATACTCCAGCTATAATCCATATCATGAAGAACGATCAGAACGATTGGCATCGTCGTAGAAAAGATTTATATCAACTAAATGTTCCATGTGAAAGCCTAAAATTATGAATTTAGACTGGGGCACCGCTTTCCTAGGTTCAAAGCCTCCAAAACGAGAAAATGCAACGGTCACAGTCGATCGCATTTCCTTTGAAGCGTGACCAATGAAACATCAAAGCTTCGTAAGCTTGTAATTCAAAGAATTTAGGCAATTACGGCGCAAGATTGGACATGAATACGCAATTGGTTATGCACGGTGACTTTTAACACTTCACTTTGCATAGCTTCTTCCATCAACAAAAAAGTATTCCAGTGTGATTATATCAGCATGCTTTTTGGCTGTAGCATTGATGTTTTCATGGTTTCTGAACTACGCATTCATTGGTAAGGGTGAATCATCAAAGAATGGCAAGCCGAAGAAAATCAAAAGTCAGTGTAAACATATTTTTTCTTTCAAAACGATTTTATTGAATTTTGCAAAGTAGAAATGAAGTTGCAAGAGTTGAGCGCGAAGTGGATAGGGATTTTAGAAGCTAAAGTTTCCAACATTCCTTCCCCAAAAATTCGGACTCTTTGTCATTGATTGACAATATGCAAGAGTCATTCCTCTTTCTACAACTATTTCCAAAAACAATATTGAAACCTTAAAGGCAGCGTACACCCAAAATCTAAGTTACCGAATTTCCTAGATCTTTCTATACCGTGTGTATACTAGGCCCAGAAGAAGACCAACTGCGTTGGTCCGGTCTCCCAATGTTGCTTCTAAGCGGAGAAAATCCCCCTCAATTTTCTTTCATTCCGCCCCTTTTCTTTCACTCCGCCTCCTCCGGACGAATCCACGACAGCGTAAGCTTCAGTTGCCGTTGCAGTTGCTGTTGCAATGCTGTTGCATCTGCAACTGCAGTTGCAACAGTGCAGTTGCTTTTTGCGGTGCGCCTCCTTCGGGCGACGAACCACGACAGCATATGCAGCAGTTGCAGTTGCAACTGCAGGCTGTCATGCTGTTGCAACTGCAACTGAACGGGGACGAGCACTTCGAAACTCGTCCGCCCCTGAAGAGAGGGTCGTCCCCGGAAATCGGGGTTTTTTGGGACTTTTGGAGGATTTCAATGACATAACTGTAATCAGCGGCACGGAAAGGCCCCAGAATGACAAAAACATCGAAGGTGAAATTTTGGGTGTACGCTGCCTTTAAATAGTGAATACTACAAATGAGTGACTGATTCTGCAGCGAAATGAAACTTTAGTGCTGAAGTTATTGTAAAGAAAATTGCGCACGAAAACGAAAAATTGAAGCAAACTCTAGACATCTGCAAACATAAATTGAAAAACAGCTTAACTTTTATTCATAACGAGCATTCAGTTCCGTTTTCGATTCTACGCCGTAAGGGAACAAAAGAAGAAACAAGAAAACGAAAATAGGTACTGTAATTGACGATTCGGCTTCTATTTAGTTTTCATAAACATTGGAATTTAGGCAGAGGGCTGCTGTGAAGAACAACAAAAAGAGATCAAACAGAAATCTCGTTATATTTATTTTTGTTAGCGATAAATTTTAAAGTGATTGTGAATGAACATATGAAATTTAATGACTGCAAATCACATAACTCTCGAACATTAAAACATCAAATCGTCTTTACCAAAGTCTTAAAACAGTGTGTTCATTCCTTAGGCTTGTAACATTAACTTTGTCAATTCAGAGAGTGCAAGTTTATGAATATTTTGCCTATACGAGGTTTTCACTTTTGCTCAAAAAGCCACTTTACTGTTCTTTTTCTGTTTATCAAACTATCTCTTGGTTTACGTGCTGAAATCATCACCTCGAAATGCGTGAAAATGCTGGGTAGAGAGTGTTGTAGCTTAAAAAAGTTGTATGCTGGTATATGAACTGAGATTGGTGCTATTCGAGAAAATTACGAAGACTTGGGCATTGCCCTGCTTAATTGAGGGGGGGGGGGGGGGAAGAGACGCGTAAAATGCCCTACGATACCCATGAAGGACAGAGTACATTACGAAAACTCGAGACTGAGATTGAAAGGTCCAAAATCGTTTAGCATGAAGTAGTCTAGACATTTGGTTTAAAGCGAAGATAACATGCCCTTTTTAGTGGTTAACCTGGTTGAAATTACTAACAAGGAAACGATACTCAATGTCCGTGACCTTTTGAGACGAGATGCATACCGTTACACTCATCTTCGAACGCTGATTCCGAATCCGACTTCCGTTTCTGCTAATCGTTTCTCTGAAAGAAGTTACAGCGAATTTTGAGCTAAGTTTGGTTGCCCAAAGGAATTATGGCCATTGGAACGGCCTCTACTGCGGCCATGTTCTGATCTAGTTGATAGTGCGATAGCCTCATAAGTCAACGCAGGTGTAGGTTCAAATCCTTTTGTGTTTTTTGCACTGCCTTACTTGTTCAAGAAAATTCACGCGAATTATAATCACTGAATACATTTCAGCGCAAACACCAATCATTCATTCCAAATTTACATTTTTTTTTGAAGAATAAGGGTGTTCACTCAACTTGAGGATGCGAAAAAGGTTAACTGAGGCAAGGCAAAACTGAGAAACACAAAGGGACTCGAACCTACACCTGCATCGCCTCACGAGGCTATCGCACTAACCACTAGACCACAGCGTAACACTATCAACCGCGCGACGACCATATTTCACTAGGCAGCCAAACTCCGCCCAATCCATCATAAAACTTTGAAGCGATTAGCAGAAACGGAAGTCAGATTCGGAATCAGCATTCGAAGACGAGTGTAATGGTATACATCTCATCTCAAAAGGCCACGGACACCGAGTATCGTTCCCTTGTAAGAATACGTTTGTGTTAGTTTGCATCCGGTAAGATGTATACCAATAAAACAACAGATATTAGGTCGTTCCGAAAGTAATGTCGCTTTTTTCAAACGTACGCCACATCTCGTGGAACAAAGATATGTAAGAGATTCTGAAAGCATTTGATGCAGCAATTCATTCTCTTTCTAATGGTTTCATAAACATTGCACAAAATTCAATAACCTTTCAAAAAATTATCAAAATCTATGACCCATGCTATTTGAGAAGGCCAAGTTTCACTATTTTTCTAAATTTTTACAACAACCCTCGGAAGGAGTCCAAGTAGTGGATAAATAGAGCAAACCCTACAGAAAACAGCACAACTTTTTTCTACTTTCTAGAGCTCCTCAAAATTTCTGCATAGATTTTTCAATGGAACCACCGAAATTTGGCAGGCTCGTCTCAGATACAAATGCATCAAACACCAATAAATCTTCGGATTTTGAAACTTACAAAGATGGATTATGGTTTTGCACTAATTTTACAACCAAATCAGCGTTTATCGCTTCAAATTAGCAACTTTCGGAATTTTCGGGTAAAGCCTGGCGCGCCCTGGAAAAGCAGAATTATGACGATTTTATCCCGGAAAACTTGATGAATCAAGAACAAAAAACAATTGGTAGAAGGAGGAGAAAAAGCTGCGTCGAATGACACCCGAATTGCTTGCCGGTTGTTGTTCTGTGAGGTTTGAGTTGACCAAATATGGAATTTGATAGCACTGAAAAATTGATTCCAGAAACTCATAGAAGCAAGCTAAGGAAAAGAAAAAATAATTCTGTGTCCCATAGTGTTTGCTCTATTTACCTGTCACTTGCACTTTTTCGGAGAATAGGTACAAAAATTTAAAAAATAACCGAACTTGACCGCGGCAAAAAGCATGGGCCGCAGATTTTAGTAATTTTTCGAAAGTTCATTGATTATTATGCAATAAAATTACAACCATTAGAAAGAGGATGGAATACTGCATCGAATGTTCGTAAAATCTCTCAAAAACCTTGATTCCATGAAATGTGGCGTTCATTTGAAAAAAGCGACATTAATTTCGGAACGACCTAATATTATCTTGCCAATCTTTTAGGACCTACGCCGAATGAGGTGATACCAAGATGTTAAAGTAACCCGCTCTTTCTTAAAGGCACCGTCCAGGTAAGTCTGGACACATGGGGATCTCACGTAAATAGTAATTTTGGGGCCCTAGCTAAGCTACTGCCCAACCGGCAGCTCAAGTAGTACTCTAACGGCTAAGATATTCCCCTCGAAACTGGACCCCGCAATCGTATTTCGCATGGATCCTGGCGCGAAACTTCCATGAATCCATGCGAATACAATCACGGGGTCCAGTGAGGGGAGTATCTCAGCCGTCAGAGCACTACCTGCGCATTTCCTTAGTTGGAGCCCCAAAAGCACTTTCCACGTTTTTCTTTAGAATCTAAATCTAATATATTTTATGGAAAAAAGGGGGCGTGGCGTCAGCCACGCCCCCGAAAATTTTTTTTTGTAAGGCTAATTTGAATTTTTAAAAATTTTTAAAAATTAATTTAATTATTTACAAAAATAAACAAGTCGTTTGCACATTTTTATAACCCACATAGGTAAGTTCCAAAAATTTCGCGACCCATTCTCGGGGGGGGGGGGGGGCGGGTGCCCTATCTTCCGTACATACAGGAATCCTTTACAGTGAGTTATGGACAGTTTGAATATTGCCAAATCGCGTCGCGACTGAAATCGCTTGAAGTATGCCCGGACCTTTAGCAAGCTTCCTTTCCATGTAACTCTCATTGTTCTACCAATACTATTGGACAGTCTTTTGTGAGAAACCTTGATCGGTAGGGCGGAATGTCGTAAAAAAACTTCCTTACGCTCCTAACCCCTTACTCTTCTGTACAATTGTGACAAAGCATGCACTTTTGAACAGGGAAAAAGGTATAATTTCTGATTCAAAAGAACACTGTTATGTAAAGGTGAATAGATATAGTCTGCGCAATTGGATGATCAGGAATGTGTAGGAAATGTATTGTTTCCAATTGAATGTTTGGTGTAGTTGATAAACAATTGATAGACTTTTGTTTCTACTAACCCACGATCTCGCCATTCGAGCATTAAAATGATGTTTGTTATCTACCATCATTGAAACATTTTTGTTGATAACTATTCTTGCTTTATCATGAGCCTTTCATTCTTTGCCTGCTAGCTCACTATGCGGTTGCAGTGAGTTTCTTAACGTTCTGGCTTTGCTAAAGCGGCACTTGTGAACTAAATCTTACAAAATTTCTCATAGTAATATTGAAAAAAAGTATAGCAATTCCCATCATTTCAAATCCACACTCTATTTGAAGTTAAGAAACGACATGAAATAGATCCTAAAACGTGAAAAGAGCGAAACACTCTGCTTTAGCTGAAGAAAGGCAACGTGGAGCTTGTAAAACAAGCATTTCCACTGATTTGTAGGGTTTTCCCGACACCAACAGCATCATTGATTCTGGCGTTGTTGAAAATGTCACATGTGAAATCATCCTCAGGTAGAAACGGTCTTAATTTTTGCAAAATACCAAGATAATTTCAGATTCTCCCAGTGTTGAAGATACTATATATGCAGTAAAAGGAACAGATGTCACTTTGTTTTGTGGTAAATCAGCAGAATCAGCAAAGAAAGGAGATTGGTATTTTAGGCGGCAGGGAAGTCCAGGTCATTTTTTTTGAGCATTTTGTAGAGATACTGGGCATTTAAAGAGTTCAAATTTCTTCTACTGGTTTTTGAAAGAGCTGCTGAGTACCGCTGAAAGAAATTGCATAGCAAAACCCTTAAACGCTTGCTAAGGGAGAGTAAAACAGAATTATAAAATAATCTCATGACTTCTGGAAAGTCCCATAAGTTCTTCAGGAAAAAAAGAAGTCAAATCCAGAGCTGAATGTGGACATTGTTCTGCTCCATTCGCTGCTTTGCTTCTTCAAATTTCTTTAATTGCGAAGCTTTTTCCTTTAAAAGTATATCTTTCAAGCAGCAGCAGACAGCATTCTTACAAGTAGAAATATAGAGGGAAAGCTGTTGTACTCAAGAGTGATGAAACACACTAAGCTTTATTACCAACGTCCACCCTAAGTCAGGGGTCTTGAGCTTTTGGCAGCTTACGATAGTAGGACTTTCTATCAAGCCAATGCCCAAATCGCAGCGCAAAATGTCGCTTTGGAAGCGAGAAAATCGCTTCGGAATAGCGAACCCAAATGAGGACCCCAGGTCGGCACCGCCCCTCCAGTAACGCCCGTGCATCCGTGCGCGTCCGTTCAATCACCGTTCCGGAAAATCGGGCTCCAGGTTCTCCAGAATGGGGATTGTCGGTTTTTCGCGGATTCTCGATTTACAATCGGCATCAGAGACATGAGAAGGACCCGAAACGACCAAAACATGGAAGTCCAGAATCTGGATGGGCGGTGCCTTCAAAGGCCGTGTCTCGTTAGAATTGGGATGCTGCGGGTATATATTTTGTTAAAAGACGCCCTGAACAGGTAGTCCGACTCGCCGGGCACTTCTACGCCGAGAAATTTGCCTTCAAAGTGGCCCGCGAAGAGCGATCTGACTCGCACGGCCGACGCTCCCGGTTTTCCCCCCCCCCCCTAGGCCTCGGGCAGAGTTCAAGCGATTTGATCGTCGCAATCAGGGCCCGGCAGGAGGTGGCATTTCAGGATTTTGAAAACGATATCCCCTTTGAAGCCAAAATTTCTTACGACTTCCCTTTTGACCCTATTTTTGACCCCCGTAAGTCCCTGACAAACAGATATACACAAATAATAAGATGGGCGGCCTCAGCGCTTATTATAGTAGTATTACCTGGCTTTCCTGGTCCAGCCCGGGTTATCAAGGTTTCAGCTCAATGGGTTCATCCGCAAAGGAATCTATAAAAAAACATAGGGTCAAGATTTGCACAAACTTTGACGTTTGTATATCTAAGATACTACTCATTTATTAGTCAGCTGCGAAACTTTACAATTTACAATAACCGATTGCGATTGGAGCGCGCTTTCCGAGGCCGATCATAACGCTGTGAACCCTATTTGGGGCTGCATCGAAGCGGTGCCTTGGTGGTTTTGGAAGCGGATTTGAACATATAGTAATACTCTCGACCTAGTCCACATTTATGTAAAGAAATCCGGGAAATTATGTGAAGGGAAGCAGGGAGCCACCCCAGGTGGCTCCTAGGTGGCGCGGGAGCCACCTAATTTCGAAAAACACTTACCATTTTTTAAATTCACATAAGTTTCTCATAATTCTTCATACTTTTTTTGTGCTCATGGTCCTCCAACTACACAGCAAATTTGGTGCCATATCGTTACTTGTGCGTTGAAAACGAGCCTATTTTGTTATTTTCCTCTTACAAGAATTGCGATTTGAATTCCCGCCTGCGGGCAGGCTAGCGATCGGAGCACAGAATCTTCACATTGCTGGAATCTAAGTTCATAGGACAGTAGCATCAACAAGGAATGATGAATAAAGAATGATATGTGCATTGTTTATCGGTAAACAAAGGGGAAGTCGTATTTTGGGGTCCGGGGCTCCGCCCCGGACCCCAAAATACGACTTCCCCTTTGCTTTTTCGGGCCAAAAACGATATCCAGCTTGTGAAAGCGCCACCCCCGCCGGGCCCTGGTCGCAATTCAATCGCTACAAGACAAGTGTTACGAGTTCACTGCATGATCTTCTTGTATTTCGGTTGTGATAGTTAGTTACGATTACTCGTGTTGGAAAACTATTACAACCGAAATGCAAGAAGACCGGCATGCAATGATATTGTTACAGCTGCCTTGTCGCGATCAGTCGCGACGATCAAATTGCGTGAACTCTGCCCGAGGCCTTACGCTTTTCAAGGCAGCGTACACCCAAAACAAATGTAACAGATGTTGCAACAGCAACTGCAACTGCAATTGCAGCTTACGCTGTTATGGATTCGTACGGAGGAGGCGGGCGAAAGAAAAGGGGCGGCATGAAAGAAAATTGAGGGGGGTTTTCTCCGCTCAGAAGCAACATTGGGAGACCGGACCAACGCAGTTGGTCTTCTTCTGGGCCCAGTATATACACGGTGTAGAAAGATCTTGGAAATTCGGTAACTCAAATTTTGGGTGTACGCTGCCTTTAACATGTATCTCCATTTGGCATGCACCTCCATGATGTTGCTGCTACTGCTGCGAATGCTAGGCTGAGAAGGCACAACTCATCCGCGTGGCTTCCACGGGACTTTCAAAAAACGGGGTTTTCGTGCAATTTGTGCGATTTGGGACCAGCATTGAGTTAGACATGGACTAAAAGGCTTCCAATATGCAAAAATCCTGACAACCAAATTTTACTGAGACACTGCCTCTAACGTCGATTTTGAGCCTTCTGCTAATTGTTTTGCAGACAAAATGAATATCGCCAAAGAAGTTCACGCAAATATCGATGTACACCTTGACAGGCTGACAATCAAAGGGGTGACAAACGATAATGAAGGGCACTATCTATGCCAAGTTCGGAATAAAGCTTACAAATTGATCAATCTTGAAGTGGGAGGTACGTTACCTTTGTGCTCCATTATATAGGCTTGTTGATTTCTTTTGCTCACAAAAAGCGCAGATTAACTTACAGCTTTTTTGCGATGATGACTTTTCGAATCCACACAAGTTACAGTCATTTGATCACAAATTTGCTAATAATTTTTCAGAATTACCAAACAAAGCTGAGATACTCCTTGTTAACCCTGAAGTTATAAACAACAAGTATGCTATTCTTAGAGTTGGGTTTCGGCAAATCGAAGATGATCAGCAGTACGCATTGAAATAATCGCCTTCACGATATTTTTTTTACAAACTTTTACGCACTTTCAGTTATCTCTTCGAGATTACTGCTTTAAACGATGATGGTTCATCCAAAAATGAGTGGATCCCAGCTTTTTCTGCTAAAAAACAGGTTGTTACGAATTTTCTTCGCCAGAAAACCAGTATTTGAGCGTTTTTTCAGGACTGCTGCACAATAAAATACAAACACTACCATGTTTCGAAGGGAGCTCAAATGCGTTTAGCTATCGTAAATAATTTTGGTAAAAGCGACTACATTCATTCAGGTGCCGCAATTTTCGTGTCAACGCTAACTTACCAATTTGAAAATATCCTTGAAACTCATAGTAGTCTATCAAACATTGCTATACAGCATTTGTTATATACAGCTTCATCTAAACCATTATTTTGTGCTATATGCTTGTCTTCAACTCTTGCAGTGGCTTTTACAAAAGGTGTTACGTTGTTCCAATTGTATTTTTGGTTCGGAAAACAAGAAATCTCATAAGCCACATAGAGAATGCAAAGCAACTTGAATTATTTCAAAAAATATTTTGCCATATACATATTTTACAATCTACTCTTAAAGGCAGTGTCCAAGCAAAAAGTCTATTTGAAATTTTGTGCTTACCCGGCGCTATTCGAAATGCTGAATCCGATAAACGACAATGGAGAGCGCGACGCCAGAAAATGCCCTAACGCAGGAGGGAAATCGCAGGTGGGAAGGGCCGTTCACACCGTGACGTCACTCTCCCAGGCTTTATGAGCGATCTTCTCGGTTCCTTTTTTATGTCATGCGTTTCGCAGTTGGCCGGTGGTGATATTAGGGCAGAAGATCGCTCCTGAAGCTGGGAGAGCGATGCCACTATGTGGACAGCCCCGCCCACCTGCACTTTCCCTCCTCCGTTAGAGGTTTTTTTTCGCCGTTTTCGCGCTCTCCAGTGTTGCTTTTCGAATTGAGCATATCGAAGCATATAGGCCCATGTAAGGCCAAAATCTCGAAATCATTATTTATTTATTTATTTATTTATTCAATACGCACAAGGCGTGCCACATTTGGAACAAGTAAAACGAAATAGTAAGAACCTTACAATAGTGAACAGTGAAGTGAACAGTGAATTCATTGTAATTATCAACATTGGTTCTTTGAGACTAACATCAATAACTAGATTCCAACATTTTCCAAAGAAAATTTGGTTATAGAGATAAATATCTCAGAACGTCAAAAGAACTAGTTACAATCCTTCCTTCTTTACTGAGAAGTTCTGGGGAAGTTCCGCAAATTCTTTCAGTTCGTCTAACAATAAAGAAGTAACGAAACGGCCGTTAATCTTTCCGCCAAAAAGCTGTTATTTCATATCTCGATTAAGAATCATCGCTCAATGTATATACACGCCGCCTTTATCGCACTTATAATTCACATTAGAAGAGGTCATTTATGACTTAGTTTGATAGTTTGATAAAATTAATCTTATATCAATTGATGAAGTTAATCACTGTCATAAGTCCAAATATTTATCAGACCACCTGATTATCTTATAGCAAATGAGTGGACTGTACTTAGACATATTTCCGCTTCCAAATCGACTGCACCCACCATATTTGCATCTCAAATTGGTCCACGAAGGTAACAAGAAGCTGTATTTTGAATGGGAAAGGCTGTGCGAACACTATTCACTTTTCGAGAATTATCAAATAAGGTAGGTTTGTGTAGATCGTGAATGATATGTTTGAGTACTGTAAGGGAAGTTTTACGAGCTCTCAATAGTCGCTCATCATCCCCTATGGTAAATCGTGCCTAGATTTGATGTGCTAACAAAAAGCATGCTCCGTTTTGTGACCAGCTCTCTTAATCTTACTCGTCTATGTAATAAACTTATATTATGAAAAAGCTCATTTGTAAAAATGCCTTGAAGCTTTTGTTTTTTACGGACAAGCAGGACAGGCTAATTTCAGATTTCGCGCCCTCCCGATAAATTCAATATGGAAAATCCGTGAAATTGCAAAGGAGGATGTCTACGGTGTAAGTATTTTCACTTGATTTAGCGTACGGAAATTTTTTGCTTTGCTAAAACGCATGAATAAGAGCTAGATCACAACTGATCTAAATAAAAGGCGAAAAAGTTTGAAGCGTCTTTTATTAGGAGATCGATGTCGAGGAAAATACGGACTACGTTTTTCAACTTGTTGCAAGAGGTAATAAAACTGAAGAATTTTACAGCGAACAGCTTTATCACCACACCAAATACCAAAACGAAGCTGGTGAGTTTATGGAAAACAAAATTCAAACGATGTAGCTTCTCAACTTCGGCTTCAGCTGGTGTTTTCAATTTTCTAAGAATTCGTTCAAGGCAATTGGAAGTAGATTTCTCTCCATCTCAGAAGTATGCGGACAAAGATTTCTCGTTCAAGGTGCATTCTACAAGAAGTCGGAAATGGTTGCTAAAGTTTAGCAGCTCAATTTTTTTTCATTCAAGCTATTCATCCATAAGGGAAAAACCGCTTCAACGCCAAAAAATTTCACCCTACAATCAAAAAAGAAATTTCCGATGAAGATAAGCCTCGTACCATATGGTATGTTTTATCATCTCTGCACATTGCTAAAAAAAAATCGAATTCTAGAACCGTATTTTATACGGGTAGAATATCAGCCTAAAGATGGTGGCCAAGACCCACCTCGTTTTAACACAGAAATGTATTATGTTAGAGCTTCTGAAGATCTTCCCGAGAAAGTCACCCAGCTCACGAAGCGCCATCTTCCCCCGACAGTAAGTTTCCCAGGTAATAACCATTCATATCCGTAGTTACATGTTGTGGATGTTTACAGAAAGAATATGCTTTGAAAAACGTCACATGGGACGCACCGATGACCAAAAATGGGGTTATACTAGGATACAAGGTCAATAAAGTTTATCTACGTACTCAGCAACTGTAGTCGTTCGAGTAATATTATACATTCTCGACAAATGCTAGCTTCCGATATCATCAAATGTACCTTTACGTTACCCTAATCTTTCCTTTAAACACATTAACGAGTCAAACAAATTCTTTCCTCCCATTTCAATATTTGGTGAGACAAATAACTATCGTTTTGCAAACTTGAATGCCCTGCAGTGTTTCAGATACGATGGAAGTTGAAGAAAGCCTCTGCTGACATCTTCTTCGTTGAACAATGTGCTACCTCATATGACATAAAAGTTTTTACTCCAAACGAGATCTACAAGGTTTGCTTCATCTATTTTTGCATGCAAGGGATGCAATGATTTAAGATACAATTTTCTTTCCACTGTATCTTTTGAGGACGTAATTCAGTTTTGTTCAATAGCGCAGGGACGTGCTAGAAAAATTTGACACAAAAATATGATCATTCACGATTTTTACCGTAAGACTTCGGACAGAGTTCACGCGATTTGATCGTCGCGATTCAATCGCTACAGACAAATGCTACGAGTTCATTGCATGCCGATCTTCTTGCATTCGGTTGTGATAGTTTTCCAACACGACTAATCGTGACTAACTATCACAACCGAAATATGAGAAGATCGGCATGCAATGAACTCGCAACAACTGTCTCGTAGCGATTGAATCGCGACGATCAAATCGCGTGAACTCTGCCCGAGGCCTTAGATTCAATGCGCAAATCTTCAATGATACCGTACTATATCCTACTACATCAGTCTCATCTAAGGTGATGAAAATGGATACTGGTGCTTGGAAAACAACATTCAATGTCACTGCTATTAGGTTGTCCCATAAGTCTTTCCATTTTTGAATTTTCGCGGTAATAAGTTATACACTTCCTATTCTAAATGGACCTCCGAACACCATTCGATAGAGCAAAGCAAGCTTTATAAGATGGCGATTATGCTTTTTCACCAGCTTCGACCCACCTCAAGTTAAAACCAAAATCTAAAAAGTTTTGGATGCCCAGAAAATTGAAAAATTTCTATATCTTCGTTTAAGAAAGTCCTACAAATCTCTCATCCGCTCACGAATGTATACTCCATATCAGACACTCATATATGCTGTTGCTGTTTTTTTATTAGCTAAGAAAACGAATTTCCATGTTTTTAACAAAGTAATGCTGTGCTATTATTACACTAACAGATGTATACTACAAGCCCTTAGAAGTACAACCGTAATTTTTTAGCTCTCCATAAGCAGGGCTCGGCACGAGGTGGCTTACAAGCAAGCTGGATATCTTTTTTGGGACGAAAAGCAAAGGGGGTTTCGTTTTTGTGACCGAAGACACACGCAAAATTGGCGATTTGGCGACGTTTTTTTTAGTCGACGTTTCGTTTTTTGGAGGATTTTTAGGGAATATGGTGGGGGGTCAAAGGGGACTTCGTAAAAATACCCAAAAGTCAAGGGGGACTTCGTTTTTTGCAAATTCATCTAGCCACCTCGTGCCGAGCCCTGTCCATAAGCTCTGGTTTCCGAGAAATGCTAAGTTAAACGTGAAAAACCCGAGTGAGGAAAGCTAAATTCGTTATTTCTCAAGCTAGAGCTTACAGAGAGCTGAATATACTGTTGTGCTTCTAAGAGCATGCATTAAGTTGTCCCAAAAGTAAACTCCTTTTCTGAAAAATTCAAGCTGTTTTTGCCTTACTGGTAGACTTGGTGCATCATTAGATAGAGCAGACCAAGCTCTATAAAAAGACCACCAAGGGTCCGCCTAAGTCGCATTCCATATAAAGTTTGAAGCCAAAATCGAAAAAAATTTTGTCACTGAAAATTGATTTTCGCGAGGAAAAGCCTTACGGACTTCCAACTTGGTCGTTATACAGTAGGCACACAGTAGTACTGAAATATGCTTTTGCCGAATTTTTTCCGAGCATAGAAAGTGAGAAACAAAAATTGTCCAAAAATGGCAATCTCCGCCCCGAGCCTATCCCACATATGTCATTGTAAACTACAAGCCTTAATAAGTGCAACTTCAAAAACCTTCCCCCTGTATGTGCTCTTATAATCGAGAAATACCAAGTTTTACATTTTAAAAAAACCGAAAAAAATGGCATTTTGGTATTGGACCATGTTTTTTCTCAATTTTGAGCCCGAAAAAAATCCGCTAAATACATTTTTGGGTACTACTATGTGTCTACTATATAAAAACCAAGTTGGAAGTCCGTAAGAATTTTCTGGAAGAAGATCCGATTTTTAGGGAAGCTGAAAAATTTTGATTTTTGGCCCCAAATTTTGCCTAGATTACGACTTTTAGGTAGGTCCTTGGTGGTCTTTTTGTAGAGCTTGCTCTGCTCTATCGAATGGTACCTTAATCTATCAAGAAAACAGGAACAGCTCAATTTATTTGAAAATGGAGTTTACTTCTGGGACAACCTAATAGTATGCAACTGTGAATGTAAGAACAGAACACCATCACTTTGGTAAAAACATGGTTTTGAAAAAGCAACAGCACATACATATGAGTGTCTTAGTGGAGTGCATATGCTTGAGCGAGTGAGAGATTTGTAGGACCTTTCTGAACAAAGATATAGAAAATCTTCGACTTTCTGGGCATCCGAAGCTTTTTGAATTTTGGTTTTGAACTTGAGGTGGACCGAAGCTAGTGAAAAGTATTAACGTCATCTTATAGAGCTTGCTTTGCTCTATCGAAAGGTATTCTGGTGTCTATTGAGAGTTAGAAGTTATGACTTATTACAGCGAAAACACAAAAATGAAAAGAATTATGGGACAACCTAATACAAGCAGAGCGGGGTAAGTAAAATTGAAAAAAACTACCACTGCATTAACAAGGAAGTTGCTTTGAAAACTTCAGCGAATAGCATGGTGGTGACGACTGCCAAAGAAGGTGTTTTTGGTGAAAATGACCTCTCCAAACGACTTCACACCTGTTTAATTATTGACAAAATCCGACTGTCAACCAATCTTTGCATGATATATGAAACAAAAAATAAAGTAACAGCAAAATTTAAAAAATAAGACAAGTAAATAAAATCGAACCGACTTCATACCATTTGAAAGAACATTAAATGCTGATTCCAAGTCTGTCTTCGTCTAATGTGTGAGTCCGAGTTATGAGCGTTTTGGTGGTAAATTTGAACTCGCCTTTGGAGCAACTCCATGTAGCCGCTATGGAAAAAAACGGATATGCATCCCTGCTGTAATTCACTCATACAGAGCTCTTGAAGGAATGTAACGATGTTCTTTATAATTGTGAGTTCATTTTCCACTCCAAAACATTCATGACTCGACGTTTAGAGACTCACAGCAGATACAACGTAGAGGTTTGAGATAAAACAGGAGTTTCTTCTTTCTAAAAACGATCTTATTATCGAAACCAATTCTGAGTGCTTTGTACAGGAATTACGTGAGGAGTCCACTTCGACTGAAAATACTTTCTCCAGGAGTACTTGAACATGCAAACATAGAAATTATTTAGGTCTTTGTGAGTGCTAGAACATCGGCCGGATACGGCCCCGAAAGTGAGATCGCATTCAAAGTTGGCTCACCTCCCAGTAAGTTCCACCAACTAATATACAAATTTGCTAGCTTGCTTGAGCACATTACCTTTCACCATGCAGCCGGCTCCAGAAAATTCTCTTTATATTCACCATGGCCATTTTCTTAACGAGAAAAAGATAATCTACAGGCCTCGAACAGCTTGGTGAAGGTAGCATACACAACGCACAAAAGCACAACGTAAATTATGGAATAAAGGTTACCAAGACCCTTGGATTAGTCTGAAAAAGAAGTAGAACTTGAGAGCAACGCTTTATTATGGTAAAAGTAGCTCTCAGTTCATGACATTAAATTCACATGAGCTGCACTTTTCGGAGTCCTTATTGAGTGATTTCCAAGACTATATAGAACAGGCAATCAAAACCAGATTTAGTTCGTCACCGATTCACTTTGTTTAAGAGCGCATAACAGCAGCATCCCGGCAAAATCTTGATCTGAAGATTTTCAGCTTACTTGCGTTTGCAGTTCAGTTGATCTCAAAAACGCAGTTTAAAGAGCACGAAAATGGAACTGGCTTTCGAATCATCAAATCAAATGAAACGTAAGGAGCAGAGGCAGCCAAATTTTTGAACACAAAGTCGTAGTGTAACCCTATGGCCGTAACCGTGTGGTATCTAGCATGCGTTTGGAATCGCTGAGTAAGCGGGATCAGGGCTCGGCACTAGCTGGTATCCGAAAAACTTCAAACGAAATCCCTTTTGATCTTGAAAACATCTTACGAAGTCCCGTTTGACTTCAAGCCCTAAACGTAAGAACCTTAAAAGACCGAAAAGTCGTCTGAAAAAATCGTCGCAGTTTTGTGTGCTACAAAAACGGAACGCGCCTTTTCCTTTCGTCCCAAAACCGATATCCAGCTTGACCCGGTGCCAGCCGTCCCGAGCCCTGAGGGGAGAGGGTCAAAACCACCTTCGGAGCGAACTCAGGCGTTGTGGACCCAGTTTTTCGCCTTCAGTGGTTTTATACATAGTGGGGAGGGGAGTCTGCTATCACAAAGCTATGCACTCTCAGCAAGTTCCACTTTACCGGGACGCTGATTCCAATCCTACCCGTCTTTCTGCGATTTTGTAAACAAAGATCAAATGAAAGCATTGATAAGGAGACTCGGAAGTATGGTCGCATAAGCGCTTTAGTTGCATGGGTCACCTTTTCAGAAAGTTGCGAGGGTCAGAGGTATGGGCATATAAACATTGAGATTAGAAATCCTAATTTGTAAAGCCATAATGTTAATCAAAAACTAAGTCTTTAACTTTCTCTTAGAATATGATTCAAATTTTGCCATTATATAGGTGACTGGCACAGGAGGTTATGCAACATGCTGATCGCGATAACGATACTGCAAGTGCATCTAGAGCTTTCTTGCTTACTATAGGCGGTATGGGGTTTCATTCGAACAAAAAAAGGGGCTCAATTACAACAAATGAATATGATTTGTGTTTTACAGGTCAGATAACCCAT